ACTAGCCTAACTAGCTAAATTATTGATGGTTCATTTCATTTCATATAATTAGACAGCCACTAGATTACATTAGCAAACATTAGAAGCCAAATTAAACAGCAAAATAAAAAATTTTTACAAAAATCTTGCACTGCACAAACACAACACGTTTAAGTGTCGTTTTCTAGTTGAATTGTAATGATTTTAATATCATATGCACTAAAATTAAAAGTTTGATAAAAATACTATAATCTCAATCTATCTATGTCCAAAACCTAACTTAGTTAGCAAAGACATTACCAACAACTAGTTTTTGTTTGACTTTTAAGTCCTCCCGTCCCTCTCTTTCCTTTATAAGGTTTATAGTACCTTGTGAATTAAGAAAAAGAAGAATCTTAATCTTTTTTAAGCTTTAGTTTTTTAAAATTAAGTTCTTTCTATAAATAAGTAAAAATTTTACGGTGCTTGTTTCATTTTTCTCCCTTTATATAAACTCTTCTAATCATAGTTACTTGATCTATCAAAGAAACGTGATATGTTTGGCTTGTTTATTTCATCATTTTATTGTTCCCACACAATACATACATATATAGAAAAAACAAAAAAAAAATAGAATCATTGTTCGACTTTCCCAATCCCTTAACAATACTATATATGGATTAAATCTGAGTTACACGAAAAAACCGTGTCTTGCACCATCGTTGAATTGTGCAATATATATGGATATTTTATGGTCTTTCATTCATCTGTATTGGTGGCATTTTGATTTTCAATACCAATGTAGTTGGATTTGCCATCAAACTCTATTATGCCTTAGTGTTCATCATTTACCGCATATGGTACACTTTATGAATTGTATGACTTGTTTTTGATAGGTATGTTATGAACAATTTTCTCGAATCTTTGAGAAGTTGGTTAATATGGACAACGCTTTCCAAATGAAAAGCATGTTGATACGTTGTTTTGTACTAGGAGGGTTATATATTAGTGGTACGCAGCTCAAATCTCTTTTAGCTTTTTCATTGTTGCATCAATCAAGAACCAGTTGAAGATGTTGATGAAAGAATTTGAACATTCAAAGATTGAAAAAAGAATTCGAACATTCAAAGATGGAACAGGAGGTTTGGAACAAAGACTCGGTTACCATCAACAATTTGTTGACTAGTTGGTCATGGTTAACAAACATTAGAGATAGAAAATAAAAATATAATTACTTAACCAAGAAATGGGATGGAGAAAGTTTTGAATGGGGAGTTGATTTTAAACGTTTATAGATGATATTTGATTCTAGGCTTCTGACTTCTTATTAGTTTAGTTATTGCCTCGGTTTTCTTATTGCCAAAGTCTGAATTATTTAATTTTTACCTCTTGGTTAATGTGTGCTCACACTTAACTAGAGGTGTCAAAATGGGTGATTTAAACGAATTTGCGCGGGTTGAAATATGTAATGGGTATAAGTGAATTAACTCATTTATACCCATTTAATTAGATGGGTATAAATGGATAAGTCAAAAAATGAGTTGGGTAACGCAATTACCCATTTATTTTAACTTTTTGTAAACTCATGTAAATTCATTTTTGCAAACTAAATTATCAATTTATACCACCATTTGCATCCATCATTACTTTTGAATATTGACCTATAATGCTCAACGTGCCTAATTACCAATTTTTTCCCAACCATTCTTTATGTCGCAAAATTACATACTATTTAATAATTCAACAATAAGAATACAAAAATTTGAACTAAGTACTATGAAACTTAGCATAAAAACTTAATTAAAAAACTTTGAACCCCTAGCATTTTTTTGTGTGAAAATTTAAAATTTCATTTTGGAAAGGCAAGACAGGAGGCTAAAAGTTGTCATAAATTGGTAATGCTAAAAAATGAGCAAGTTAACAAACTACCAGAAAATAAAATGATAAGATAAAATCAACAAATGATGATGATAATAATAATAATAATAATAATAATAATAATAATAATAATAATAATAATAAAACAAAAGTAGTTAACATCATGACAAAACAAAGAATTTGAAAAAAAAAATTAAGAAGGATATTTATTTGCGTCAAAAATGCATCAAATGTTTGTTAAGACTGAAAAATAAAACATTTCACTATATACAAGGCTTCAGCAATATTAATGCATGAAAGTCTCCAACAATGAGTTCAATAATCAAATGCAGGCCTCAAATTTCTTCTAAATGGGTGGGGGAAGAGAGGAGGTTTAGGGAAGACAATTCTAAATAGGTTAATTGGGTTTGGTGGGTTACTCAATAATACCCATTTAATAAATGAGTATTATTGGGTAACACATTTACATCTATATGCAAAAACTTAAGAAATTTATATCCATCTATTCATGGCCGGGTATGGATAAATTTATTTAAATAGGTTTATTTGCCACCTATACTATTAATTAGGCATTTTGGTGAAGTGATGATAGCATGATAAGATTTTTTACTAATCCATCCACAGTTCACCAATAGACTGATACTAAATTCATTGTTTGGTATGTAAGTGAAGTTTATAACCAATAGCAAACTTTAAAATTTTTACTAGTCCATCCATAATTCATAAATCGAACGATACTCAATCATTGTTGGGTATGTAAGTTTAGTTTATAAACAATAGCAAACTTTAATTAGATATACTCATATACTAGTTTAAAAAAAATATTTTAACTGATTATATACTAGTAAAAACAATTATATAAAATATCTATTTCATTTGAAACTTAATTTATAACTGATTTAAATGCCAAAAAAATGAAAAAGAAAATCTATGGGTCAATCAACTTAATTTACATGGAGTGTTTTACATTTTAAAGTGATATTTAATTGAGTACTTAACTATCAGTCTAAGTGAAAAAATATGATAAAATCCATTATCAATTAATTATTGATATGACTACAAGTATTTTGTCAAATTTGAGACCAACTATGCAGTCGAGAAGAAACATACTAGTAATTAGTTGCATGGATAAATAAAATAAAGAAATAAAAAAAGTTGAATCCAAAGTTGACCTTCGTATTTAATTTCGGGTATATATAACACAATTCATATCTAATTTCATCCTAAAATGCTCAATGTTATTGTTTGAAAGTTAAGGGATGATAATAATGCAAATTCTGAACTTTGGGGGACTAAAAATGCAAAGTCAAAATAGTTGACTAATAGAAGTCAACTATTCTAAATCTGCTCAAAATTAGAAACTTTTGGGACCACATTTATTTTGATCGAATTATTTGGGATCAATCTGGCATACGGATCAAACATTAGGTACCAAAATTTCATTTCTCCCATATTATAAGTAACGAAATTATATATATTTTTATTATTTATTAGAGTAAAATTTCTATTTTATACATAATAAGAAATCTTATCATTATTTTTTATTTTTGTCTGAACTCGATTTGGTTCAAACTTGAATTCGACTAAACTTAAACTTGAGTTTGAACTAGAACTTGAGACTCTACATCGAGATCAAAATCGACTTTAAACTCAATTTGGATTCTGATAAAAATTGAGTCAAACTCGAGCTAATCAAGGCAACGGTTCATTTGCAGCCGTAATATACATAAGGAGATGTATGACCACCAGAACACAATAAATATGTTATGGTATCTTTAATAACAGTATTACGGACGCCTCCAAAATGCACTTTCGCCTTTTACTTTTATTTTTTCAAAGAATTAACTTCACTTTGAACTCTTAAACTTATACTACTTTCTCACTTTACATCATACATTTTAATTTTAAATATTAAACCCTAAATTCTTAATTTTGGATACATTGCACCCGAAACTCTCAAGTTTGCCCTATTTAAATCCAATCAATAATTACGTTTGCAAAACTAACAAGACAAAGGATGGCAAAAATTAATGGCAATATATCATTTTGTTTTAACTACGATCTCTTAACTTTTTAATCACTTTCAGCACATTATCACAGATTTATATGGTTTAAATCAGTAATATTGTTTGTAAAATTAATTAGATAAAAGATTGTATAAATTAATGACAATATATTATTTTAATTTTGTCACAATACCGTGACACTTTTGATCACTTTTGTATTATCATTAATTTGTAATTAAATTACATATAACCTCCTTGTAGTTTTGTCTATTGTCCCAAAGTCCTGCATGTTGCTTCCTTGTCATGCATGCGCTCATGATATCTAAGTCGGTTGCCAAGATTCTTAAAACAAGTTTCAGCAAAATGGACAAAATCATCCCGATGCGTAGCATAAACCCAAAATTTTGATCTTGTTAGGAAAAAAACCTTCTAAACAAGATCCACAATTAGAATAGAAGTTCAACATTGTGAATCAGAACTCTCTGTTTGATGGGATTACTAATATATATCAAATTGATGACTCGCAATAATAGAGTTATCATTTTATTTTTATTTTTTATTTCTATTATTTTTTTTATACAATTGGAAGTGAGGGATTTGAATCTGGAACTCCAAGTGACCAATCAATGCGCGCTGGTGGAACATTTTGTTGGGGGGGGGGGGGGGAGCAAGAATTTCATAAGTCTATTGATATGAAGTTTTACCTCAAGAAACCGGTCAATATAGAAATTCTTGCCCCCAGTCTCCCCAAATTTGAAATTAAGTCCTTGCCCTTGAGAAATAGTGACTTCATTAGTTAAATGCTTTTTCCTCTTATCTTAATTGTTTTATAAGTTAAAAAGTATTTTTCTTAGACATCTACTTTATATGCAAAAAGTACAACCCAAAGCCACGTCCACATAGATGCTAACTTGGACACCTTCTATCACTTTCTTGTTTTCTAGCTTTTGTCTCATTAACAAATTATTTGTCAAGTCATTGTTAATCTTTTGCAAAGTTTTGGTCAGATTTTTTGGGTTGTTATCAGGAGGAAGTTTGGAGAATTCCAAATCTATTGGAGGATATTCAAAAAATAAAAAACTAAGAAAAATAGCGACTGAATAAATGTAGTGATGAGATGACCAATAAATGATCATCCAATTAAAGATAAAGCTTCCATATTTTGGCATAAGAATTCAGAAGCCTGCTGCTATAGTCATTGGTTGAATTCTACAAGATTTAGATTCAGGCATTAGAAACAAATCAAGAACCTCAATTTAGTACCTATACAAAATAAAACTGCTTGAATCCTTCTAGCAATTCGTAGCTATAGATATACATGACAGTTCTTCATCTGGAATTCAAACTTTCAGAGTCTGAAACGACTACATTCAGGCCCTCTATTTCATCCGTTTGCTGTTAAAAGAATTGTCCTTGCAACGTTCCGGGACCAGAAGGGATTTTCTCATATTGTCTTCGTGGTGGAAATGTACCAAAGTCTAGGCTGCATCTCTTCAAGTTGCCGAAGAAATAGCAAGGGTCAGTACAGGCACCCCACTGTCAAGTTAACAACGTGTTTTAAGTTCCAGTAACAGTTGATGTTAGTGTAAATTAATTAACGAGAACAAAATAAACAAATTTGTCTATGACATACCTGTTCTCAATGAAAACACTTTGATTAAGTCCGAATAATTACTTCAAGAAGATCATTTCCCATATCCCGTTGTTCTTCAAGAATTTGCTTGGCCGAACTTGCTGCATCGAAGCACCAGTGCACCTCCAGTTTTTCCAAGGTTGGAATGTCTCCGATGCTGGATGGAATCTCCTGCAGGCTGTAACAATCTCTGATGGTAAGCTGCTCGAGACGAGGGAAGGGCTCGCTGGAGACATTCCATTCTTCGATGTTTAATTGCCAAAGCTCTAAGAACTTCAATTTTTGGAACTCCCCATCTTCGACATCCCATCGTGGTCCTGAAAAGGAATTCCTTCTTAATTTGAGGATCTCAAGATTCGGCAGCTGCCCAATGACAGATATTGCGCTCCATGGCACGCTAAACCTTCCCAATGTCAACTTTCTTAGAGTGTTGGGAAAATCAAATGTTGGAAATTGATCACGCTTCTCACCATAAAACACCATGCCGTAGCTATATACTTTCAGTGACTCGAGATTACTTAAGGAGCTCAATTTGGGGAACAGAATGGGCTTCAAATGGTCATATTGTGGTTCAAAGAATACGCAGTTCAGCTTCTGAAGTCTTGGTAACCTTCTCATTAGCTCCTCTGAATCTTTACCGAATGCAAGAGTTGGTTTTGAGAAGGTAACAATGTTATCTAACTGACAGGACTCACCCTGCTCAGAATCAATGAAAGAGGTGTGATTCAGATCACCAACAGCTGCATGCCTTAAGTGTTTAAGCCTCCAAAATGAATCTGGTAAAGGAACATCAAGTTGGGCACTTTTCACTATAAAAGTTTCTAGGTTCCACAGATTGCCTATTGATGATGGAACATGCCTGATAGAACACCACAATGCCAAGTACCTTAAAGGAGTTATCAATGTTATTTCTTCAGGAAAAGAGGGTTCCAAATAGAGACACTCCAAATCCAACACTTGAAGAAGTCTAAAGTTGTTAAAGAAAGAAGATGGACTAGAATGCGGCTGAGACATTTCATAAGTCCCAAACAACTGCAGAGAGTTAACTAGTGGACCTTGAGAGCTTGACTTGGTGAAATGTGTCCATTCACTGTCTATGCATAAGCGATATTGATCATATTCCCTGGGATCCAAGTTCTGAGAAACATCACGTTCATGTACCCAATGTAGAAAATTCTCTTCTTTAACTTTTACCAAGCACAATTCATGTACTAGATCATGCACACGACATGTTTTTATCCGACCCTTGGAACTTCTTTTTGCAACAATTACCAGACTTCGACTGATCAGATCCATCAGGTATTCCTCTGCCACATCATCTAAGCTCTTGCCCTCAATTCTTTGTATGAATCCTTGGGCGATCCATAATCTCATCAACTTCTGGACTCCAACAACCGTATCCTCAGGATATGCTGCAAAATAGAGGAAGCATGGTCTCAAGCAATCTGGCAAATGCTTGTAGCTTAATTGCAGTACGTCCATGCACCCATCAGCAGCAACAATATGTGAACCTATACTTGATTCAACTTGCAACCACCAATCTAGATTCCTGCTTTTTCCTGTGAGGATACCAGCAACCAAGACAACTGCTAGAGCTAGCCCCTTGCAGTTTGTTGCAATTCTTTTTCCTATCTCCACTAGGTCTGTAGGACAGCCAGCCTTATCAAACAACTTCTGTTCTAATAATTCCCAACTCTCCTCCCCTGAAAGTGGACGAAGAGTATGAGGACTGCAATCCGGTTTAGCTTGCAAAGCCAAATTATGAATTCGACTAGTGAAGATGATTCTGCTTCCATTTCTGTCATCTGGAAGTGATCTTTTTAGGCATTCCCAAGCCTGAATTTCCCAGATATCATCCATAACGATCAAGTACCTCTGTCTTTTCAATGATCTCCAAAGCTGTTCAACTAAATCCTCATCACTTGTATTAGAGCTAGAGAGCCTTACATTAGAAACAGTAATATCACTTAAAATGTCAAGCAATAACTCTCTAACCCTATACACTTGTGAAATGCAACACCATGCACATCTGTTGAAGTAATATTTAACAGCAGGATCATTGTAGACTTTCTTGGCTAAAGTTGTCTTACCCAGTCCAGGCATTCCAACGATTGAGACTATATCAAGTTGTGCTGATCCTCTGGTAAGGCGATTTATTATGGTTTCTGCCTCGTCCTTGAAGCCCACAACAACGTCTTGAAGTCTTGAAGTATTAAGCTGTCCTGGATTGAGCTGATTCAGATTCATATCAGCACCAGGCATTCTGGGTTTCAGCATCTTGTCAACATTAATCTTCTCGAGATCAATCCTGATCAGCTTAATTTCTTCCACCACATCAGCAAGAGATATCATGTTGTACCAAATTGGTTTCTGTATAATTAAACACGAGTTGATAGCATGTTCTGCTTTGTATGAGACATTGATAATTCTTTTCCAAAGATCTTTTAAATCCTCATGCTCGTTTTGCAACTCCATCACATCCTTGAGGAGTGGCCTCAGAGACAGCAGTTCCCCTTGGATTTTCAAAACTTTATGCTTTGCAAAAGGAGGACAATTGGCCCCATGTTTTAGCATTTCCTCCAGATTTCCTAACAAGGAATCAATAAATCCCATGCCATTTGTTGAAGGAAAATTGATCTGGGATAAAACTTGCAACTGGACATAAATCTCTTTTGCATCTGCCTCGATTTTCTTAATCTTACTCTCGAACCTGGAAAGAAAAGTTCTCCTTTCCGTGAAAAAGTTTTCTTTGCTTTCATCAATGTAAACTGAGCAGATCAGAGACATCGAATCAGTTATGATGGCATCAATTTGGGCCAAAAAGATATTTCCAACATCTCTTGCACATTCCTCTGGAGGATCTATAAGAAAGGTTATCAAGAATACCAACCCTTCTTTGAGGACATCAACAGAATCCTTCATGAGGACCGTCAGGTCTTGGAGGATAAGTTCAACAAAGCTTGTAACAACTTGACCTGCAAGAAATTTGCTTGATCTTGATGACTTTGAAGCTTTAAGGACAGCAACGTACATCTCTGTGACCTTTGGAAGGCAAGGCGTAACTTTTTGTAATAGATCAGATAGCATCATTTCCAATCTAGATGAAATGTATTCATCTTTCCCTTGCAGCCAGTAAACAATAAGCAAACATGCTGCTTTGTTTACCCAATCTCCCATGTAAACCAGGAAATCTTCAAAGGTATCCAGGTCAACGCATCGCTTTGCAGTGAAGCCAACAAAATTTCCCAGGAAACTTAGCTGCTCTTGAATAGCCCTGATTTGGTCCTTCAGATGACCAAGAACATCCCCTTCCAAGTTGACAAGGGCCTTTAGATTCCAGAGGATAGAATCAATTAATTCAAGTATCTCCTCAGCCTTGCAAGACTTGGATTGCAAAGAGCAATCCAACAAAAGAGCAGAAATTTCTATGATCTCTCTCTTAAAGTTCTGAATCTTTTCCAGCAAATTAGAAGCAAGAGGTCCCCAATCTTCGATCTTACTTTCAGGAATTTCAGCAAGACAGGCATCATGCAGGCTTCCTTCAGCTTCTTTCTGTAATGTTTCAATCCCAATCATGATAGAACCGACATGCATATCCTTTCCAGGTTCCTCACGCTTCTTCAAACACAGTGAAAACATCTTGAGGAATCTTAATTCCATTTGCAGGTTACGGATATTATCCATCATATGAAAGTCAGGCCTGGTTGAACTGGGACCTGTAGTTTCTCTGATCTATCACAGCTAAAAACAGAATCACAGAAGTATTAGCCTTCTTCTTGTTCTAATCACTCTTAGATCAAAAGTAAAACTTTTTCAGCAAAGACTGGAGAAATTGTGGACAAATCAATTGATGAGCAGAGAATACTTTGGGAAGTGATTATTTCTTGGTCAACAGTCACTATTATGATAATGTATATTTTTCGTATGTAAACTAATTTACAAGACATGTACTTAGAGTTCTATAAAATGTTAAATCTTCTTTCCTCTCGTCTTCAAGGAAGACATTTTACAATGCAATCTTTATGGTGTTGTTGCATAACATACAGTACTATACTTATCATGAATCTCTCAATCCAATGTTTTCCGAATATTTAATGTTCAGGTGGTGAGATCCAATGAACTAGCAATGCATGCAATTTGCAATATAAATTTCCTTGCATTGTTTGACTTTCAATGCAATTAATGCTGCTGTCATGTCCCATTTAACAAAACATCCAATGAAACAATATTGGCGGTTTAGCTCATGTAACTGCACATTTAAATATAGATGCATATTTGTATACTCGTGTAGATACTTCTAAGATTTTACTTTTCTCTTGTAAAAAAAAAAAAAAAATTAATACTCGAAAGCCCTCTTAAATGTACCCTATCTCTCTTTCCTCGAGTAAATTCAATAATGAACTATTTCTAGATTTTGGTTTGGTTATTTTGTTTTTCGGTTTAGACCAATTCAATTTTTTTCCGTCCATGTCTCTTGTTACCACAGTTAAAACATATAATGAGCGGTATCAAGTCTACTCAACTACAAAACATATAATCATAGCTGTGCCAATAAAGGCTAGAATTCAAGTGTTAACGTTGTAATCCACTGGCCAAATCTAACTGTCATGGCCCCTGAATTCCATCTGCTATGTGTTTTTACTGAATATGCAGTAGCATGCTTGTTTTGTTTTCTTTTGCAAAAGGTAATAAAACAATACATTGTCATTAATTTATACCATCTTTTGTCTTGTTAATTTTACTAACAACATTAGTGATTGAAACCATATAAATCAATGACAATGTGATGAAAATAATTTAAAAAAAAAGTTAACGGATCGCAATTTAAACAAAATGGTACACTGTCATTAATTTTACCATCATTTGTCTTGTTAATTTTACAAATGTAATTATTGATTAGATTTAAATAGGACAAACTTGAAAGTTTCGGGTGCAATGTATCCAAAATTAAGAATTTAGCATGCAAAATATTTAAAAGTAAAATTTAAGATGCAAAGTGAGGAAGTAGAACAAGTTTAAGGGTGCAATGTAAAGTTAGTTCCTTGAAAAAATTAAAGTGAAAAGGCTAAAGTGCATTTTGGAGGCTTTCTTGGTCGGAGGCGTTCGCAATACTGTTATTTAGCTTGGGCAGGAACGGTTGAACGGTGTAATTTCGTTTAAACAGCTTGTAACCATATGTGCACTATTTGTAAAACTTTTTAACTGACACGCAATTATTATATATGGAACTCATATAAATAATAGTAGAATATCACACCTCTATTATAAAGATGTACAAATAGTTAAGGAGAAGTTACAATTTGTGCAGAGAGAATTACACCATTCAAGGACGGTGTAAAGATACCATTTTGACAACCGTTCCTACCCCAAATCCGTATTAAAGATACCATTATATTCTAGCAGTCATACATCTCCTTGTGTGTATCCTTATGTTGGTTAACTGTAGAGTCTGCTCAATGATGCCCAGTAGCGTTTGATGAAAAATAAATAACATAAAAATTACATTGAAATTGGCTCTATGAATGTAAATTTCAATCCTGTCCAGAGGAAATAAGACAGAGAACAAAAGTTACATTGATCCAAAAGTACAGTAGTAATGTAAATTTCAATTATGCTGCATGGAGGAAATAAGATATACAATCAAAGTTACATTGATCCAAAAGTACTCCAGTAGCTATACTCTAAACAGCTAACCGAACTCTTGTTTGGTAGTGCTTTTTGCACACCTCAAATTGTCAAATAACTTTTTCTGTCAAAAGGTTTTCACCGCAAAATACTCCAATATCAACATGCAATCAACAATACTCCTCCAATGAAACTTAAGAGTAAACCTCTCCTGTAATTCTTAGTTCTGATCAAGGCGGATACAAGAAGAAAAAAGACTGTCAGAGTACATTGTGTAAGTTTATAGTCTAGGGAATTGAAAACTTAAAAAATAGGTGAGATAAATGTAGAAAGCAATTATGGAGAACATTGCAAAACAAAAACGGTGTCGGAAACCAGTTTATTCTTTCTCAAAATATTAAAGACAGTGCAAAAATGTATTATGATCAGGCACTTGTACGTATAGTTGAGAATGAGCATGCAAACTATACCTCTAAGACTCCCTTGATGGTTCAAAAACTACCAAAAAAGAGGCAAAACACCTCTAACATAGTAATTCATAGTAACAATATGGATTCTGTAAAATCCAATTGTCAATGCTAATAGTAATGAATGAACCTACTGCAGATTTATACCAACTTTGATATGCACCAAGCAAGTCTAAGAACATGACTGTTAATAGTCGAAAACATGAATTTAAAAGAGAATTGATAAAAGATCATAGAGACATGCGAACAAAATAATCAAGAGGAAATCTTAATTAGTGCCAAACCACGAGAATGACCAGTTAACCTCTGAACTACCTCTTACATGGTCAAACATCCACACATTGCGTGTGTTAAAGAAATTCTATACATAACATCTCAATTCTCAGTCTCAATCTACATCTACATACTCTTGTTGATTTCCTGCTCATTATCTTGTCAGCTACTTACAAGAAGCAGGTTCTAAGTTTTTTTTTTTTTTTTTTTTTGTCGCAACGATAAAATTCCTATAACCTAATCTAGCCTAATCTAGGGGGGGAAGGGGACTCGATGTGAGTAGAAACTCCATCGAAGAAGCAGGTTCTAAGTGCTATACTATGAAGTTGTTTTGACTTTAAAGTGAATGCTACAAACTCCTTAAATAATTTAATTGTCATCCAAATGAGACAAATTGTCACCGTGATAAAGGATTGATCGCTCAACTGTATAAAAAATCTAAAAAAAAAAAAAAAGCTGTCAATCATGCAAATATTATGCATTTTTTGTGTCATTGTAGTTGGTCCTTTTCCTTTTTCTTGTCTCCAGATAAGTACCTGGTTTTTGATGTCATTGGAATTTTGATATATGAAGCAGACCATAACCTTTGTTCCCGTGGCTTTTGATAAGTTCTCAAATTTGGAAATTGCCTTTTCCATTGGTTCCCCTCAAATATCCAAAAAAAAATTCCTCTATCCCCAAATCTTCTCACGTCAGTGGCAATTAATGTCTCAAAGCCAAACGAGTTTTTTTAACTGCATAAAATGATAGACGAATCTCGTGAACAATATTGATGAAATGCTTATGAATATGGTAGCAGGTAAAATGTAAAGAAACCCCAAGCATTGCAAAATGAATCAACCTAAAAAGCATAGCATACAAATCATTACCAAAGAAAACCTATAGATAAATTGAGGATAACGTTAAGAAAATATTCTAAAGAAATAAACAGCTATGTTCTTCTATCTTTTGACAGACACGAGCTGTGAATTTAAGCTAATGGCAAATTATATTTTACCCCCCTGTGGTTTAGCGCTTTTTTACATAACCTCCCTATGGTTTCAAAAGCTATACGTAACCTCCTCATGGTTTAGATTAAAATGTCAAAGTGACGAAAATAGTCATTCGTAATGGAACTTCTAAAAATGTCAAAATTACCCTTATAAATACATAGCACACTAACCCCGTATGATTTTTATATTTTACCATATAACCCCCTTATGGTTTAATATTTTACTAGATAACCCTTTTATAGTTTTCAAAATATACACATAATCCCCTTGGTTAATAAATAATTTTCAACTTTATATAAGGGTATTTTTGATATTTTAGGTGACTCCGTTACGAATGATCATTTCCATCATTTTGACACTTTAATCCAAACTATGAGGGGGTTATGTATAACTTTTGAAACTATTGAGAAATTATGTAAAAATTACTAAATCACAGGGGTAAAGTGCAATTTGCCCTTTAAACGATCCTTCACATAGAACTTACCCTGGATACTCCTATGAGTTTTCAGTAGTCTTTTATCACATTTGAATTGGAATAACATTATCAAAGATCAAGGATCGGTTAGTAAGTCAACTATTCATCAGTTCAACCTATTTTGGCATGTATTTGTAAAACAAGACAGACCAATAATAGCCGGTCCAACTAAATGACATTCATGGGAGGAAAACCACTATGTTTTCAGAACCGGACCGGATATCGACTTGGTCGAGCTCAGGGGTCAGGGGTCAATGGGTTCAACCGGGTTCGATAGGGGTTGAACCGGATGACGTCATAAATAAAATTTATTTAAAAATTAAAATATTATATGTAAAATACTTAATAACATGTTAATATTAATAAAGGTATATTCATATATATTTGATGTTTCAAATATATTTAATAAGAAAATACAAATAAATTAGAGCAATCAAGTAGCAATTTATATTATTGAATAAGCATTAACAAGTTTAGAATTAAAATTATGGACTTAATTGAAAAATAACACCAAACTTTAAGACAACATTTATAAAGTATGAAATATTCGAGGTATGTTAATAATTTTTAACAACTTAAGGATCAAAACATCATATTAAAAATATTCTGCCCTTTCAAAAAAAGTAAAAAAAAAAAAAAAAAGAGACCGGGTTCATTTTTCCGGTCAAAACCCGGTCACCTGGTTTGACCGAGTTGTTGATTTCCCGATTTTTAAGATTAACTTGGACCGGCCAACTGGCCGGTTCCCGGTTCGACCGGTCGAACCGGCCGGTCCGGTCCGAGTTTGAAAACAGAGGAAAACCAACGTTAGGTGCACTAAATATATCATACACTAACACAGGGCATGGAGTAATATTCTGCCATACTGCACATGGGCCAACATTTATAGCCTTAAACCACAGTATGTAATTTTTCAGCACATTTAAAGAGACAATTAACTGTCTTCTTCATCAATCAAAAGAAACTACATGACAAAGTACTTGTCAATTTCATTAAACTTACCTTTGTCCACCAAGTAAAATGGGTGATTACAGACAAAATCTTCAATATTTTCTCATCCCAAACTAAATAGCAAATTAGTAACACAAGTAAACACTAAACCCTTATCAATTTT